GACAGTTTTAAATAAATGTCCAGTTTTTAAACTAAGGGTCTAAGAAAGTGAATTGCTATGGTAATTAAATTACAATGTAACTTAAAATTTAAATCTATCATTAATATGAAGCCAAGCAGAAGATATTATTAATAGCAGCTTTAGTTAGGTGTGTGCTCAGTTCAGAAAGATTGACCAAGCAATGCCATTGATCCTATCCTTCTCTGATTTTATAAAAGATTGGTAGGGACTACGTTAGCAGGCATCTTCCTTGATTGCTTTATAATAAGAATATTTCTCAATCTGTCGTCATCCTGTTTGGTTATATTTAGTATATATAAGTGACCAGAAGCTAAAAGATGCCTGGGTTTCAAGGCAGTATTCGGGACTGTTTAACTCTATTAATCTTAGTTGACATCTTTTTTGTAATTGTTTGATACTACTGGGAAGCAGAAGAGAATTATGCTTTTCTCTGTCCACCCTCTTACTCCTCCTGTACCCCCTAAGTGGGGGTGGGGGGTATGGTACAAAAGTTGACTATATCTCAGAAATTTGTGAAGTTGTTCCTTTGCTTACTTTATATAAATACCCTCTCCACCTCCCAACGCCCCCTCCCCCAGTTGTTTAAAGATATTCTACTTTTTCTTAGATGTTCCCATGGAAGAATTTTTAGTTCATTTTTAGCAGTCAGTTTGGTGGTTATTCCCAGGGAGCTAGCTATTCTTCTGAATTATTCAGTGATTATTCTGTACCTGAATGAGGAAAATCTCCTTGGCTCACAGAGGTTTCTTTCCTGGTTAGACTTACTCCCTGACCTATCAGTCACCTCCTTTCCTTTCTGTGGTTGTGGCTCAACATGTCTCAGAAATGGATTCTCTATCCTAGTTTTTTCTTGCAGCAAACTTACCAGACTGGCTGGATTCCCTTTTGGTTAACTTGGGCATCTTCCGGTATCTTAAGCCAAGTCTTCGCCTAGTCTAATGAGGGGAGCTGCTAACCATCCTTCAACATTATCTTGCTCATTTTCAAGGCTGCGTTGTAATAAGTAAACATATATTTATCATAAATGCCTGTGGTTGTATATTTTGGTTTTGTTTTATAAATTAATCACCTGTGACTTTTAGTTTCTTTGGTTTGGTGTTTCTCTCCAGTAATCACCCAACCCTTATTAATAAATTATTCCTGTACATAGCTATATTTAGTCTTTCCTTTTTCTTTCTGTAGGGGTTTCTATAAAAATATTCATGGATATGGGGCACCTAGGTGGCTCAGTTGGTTAAGTGTCTGACTCTTGATTTCGGCTCAGGTCATGATCTCAGGGTCGTGAGATTGAGCTCTGGGTGGGACTCTATGCTCCGTGGGGAGTTTGCTTGAGATTCTCTCTCCCTCTGCCCCGCTCACATTGTATTTTTTTTTTTTTTGCATTGTTGGAAATTTTTAATTAAATGGAGGTCATTTATAGCAGCTTATGAGATTTATATCAGTGATTTTTGTTTGAGAGAAACTCTTGAACCATTGCGTGTTTTGGTCAAGAAGTAGGAACACCGTCACCTTTTCATAAATTATTTTAGGTAAATTTAAAATTTCATCCTAGATGTTTCCCTCTGCCCAGCACACTTTCCTTTATCACCACTCCCTTGGTGCTTGTTAACAGAAGCAAATTAATTTTAATATTAGCTTAAGCAAAATATGATTAGGAAGACCAGTCTGCTGCGGAAGTAGCCATATATATTTCAGAGCTAAATACAAATAATTTCTAAGTTGCATGCTGTTTTGGATAGTCCATGTTACATCTCTGCTTTATTAGGAAGGATAATTATGATTCAGATGCTCTAATTTTAACCTTGACTGACATCATTGCAGTTTAAGACATTTAACCAGAATTTATTAGATAGGGGTATCTCTAAGATTGTGTTATCACATATATTACTGCTGACTGGTTTTATACTGCTGATGAAACAGCTGCAATGATTATTTTGTTCTTGTAGATTTTGTACATGAAGATAGAATACAAAAGTCCCAGGAAACTCACCATATGTATTTTTAAACCAATACAAATGAAAACTGTGTTGGCCTGTAGCAATTTAAAGTGTATTCTTGTATTTATACTGTTCATCAAAGTATTAAGCGTGCATTTGTTAAAAGTTCTGCATTCTATTCATGTCTGAGTTGAAAGCCTAATTAATGTAAATGTATGTTTTTGTGCATGGTATTCATGGTTATGTCAAAGATATCTTTATGCTGGATAAGATAATAACCAGTGCTTATTGAAAGTCTATAGTGGGTGAGGCACTTTATATATAATTTAGAATTTCATTTAAGTCTTATAAAAGGTGTGTCAACTAATCATTATCTCCATTTTGTTATGAGGATGTTGAAGTTCAAAGAAGTTAAGCATCTTGCTTACATCATGTAAGCAGGTTAGTGGAGGTTAATTGGATTTGAATCCTGGCCTGACTCCAGTGCTCATGTGTGCCGTATTTTTTCTTCATAATATGTCCATTCTGCAGACTGTACAAGTCCTAAAAAGTTAACGTCCTTTTCCGCAAACTTGATGAAAATCTAGATTTACTAATAGACAAATTTGGGATATCCTTTACTCTTGTGAGATGATTCATCTCATGTTCTTTAAATGACCCAACATGACATTAAAAATATTATTTGCTTTCCCATAGTTCAGTTTGTCACTCAACATTTATGAGTACCTGCATTGTGAGATTTTATCAAGTGAGGCAAACCTGGGTTTTGGCACTCTGTATTCAGCACATACTTCATGAACGCCTGTTTTATGCCAGGTTCTAAGTGTTAGAGATGTCAGTGGCTGGCAAAAGCAGACACAGTTCCTGCTGGCTCTGGAGCTAGTATACCTGGGTTTCAAGTCTTGGTTCCACTTTTACCTCTTAATAACTGTATGATCTTAGGTTCTTAGCCCTCGTAAGTCTCTGTTTCTTCACCTGAAAGAAGGAAAGAATTATAGTACCTTTCTTAGGGTCATTGTGAGGATTAAGTGAGATAACGTAGGTTCGTAGTGTTGGTCAGCCATGTAGTGAAACAATAAGCGTTACTTTTTTTTTTTTTTTAAGATTTTATTTATTTATTTGAGAGAGAGAGAGAATGAGAGATAGAGAGCACGAGAGGGAAGAGGGTTAGAGGGATAAGCAGACTCCCTGCTCAGCGGGGAGCCCGATGTGGGACTCGATCCCGGGACTCCAGGATCATGACCTGAGCCGAAGGCAGTCGCTTAATATCCTCTTTAAAATAGCGGTTGAACTATAAAGAAATTTCTTTTAAAAAAATAACAAGCTTCATTAGTATTATTAGCTTCAGTCTGGGATGGTAGTCATCTTTTCTTACTTGCAAAGTCTCAGTAAGTGTTTCATTTGCTCTGCACACAGCCATATACATTTTAGAAATATAGTACACTATAATCTGTGTTTTCACTTTCCATATTTTAAAGACAGTGCTAGAGGCATTGCATGGGATAATTCCAAATACAAGAGTATGTATGTTTGGCTTGTGGCAAGTAAACTATTTTTTATTACTTTCCTTTTGGGAAAAAGAAAATTAAGAGTCACTTTGTGATTTATTCTGTAAAACAATGAGAATAATAAGAATTTCTGTGAGAAGAATTTTAAGGAAGAAATTCTTCATTGACTGCAAAGAAAAATATGACAACATCACTCTGACTTATGGTTGGCATTTTGTATGATTTCTTGAGTCTTTTTTTAATGGAAAGTATTTCTAAATATTTTAAGAAATGGGAAAATTGAAAATGATATCTTCTGTATACTTAACAACACAGTATTTATGCACTTGGGTATGCAAATCCAAATGCAACTAACTGAATTTAAAAAGGTACATGTATAAAGAGTTGTACAAGAGTAATTTAGTCAAATATCCTTCTAGATTATTGTTTTAGAATATTATCTATTAAGAGTGTGAGGATGAGTTAAATGCATACAGATATGATTTCTTTTAGAGACATACATTAAAATGAATGACGTTTCTTTAAGTAGTAGTTTCCATCTGTAATAATTTGTTAAAACAGTTAAATTCTTTTTGTGAATTCATGCAAAAACTCACACTACCTCTAAGGAGATTTGTTCAGTGATATCTCCTGCAAAAAGATATGTCAGGGCTATTCTCATTATCTGCAGTGAAATCTTGTTAGAGAAAATCTTGCTTTGACATTAAATCATTCTCATTTTTTTCATTACCGAAGTCCAAATGCCAAGGAAAAGTCAACTCACAAGCTGGAGAGGTATGTAAACAGTTCAATTACAGTGAACTGTTCTGAAGTAGATTTAAGTATATTTTTCCATTTTCATAGTTCCTTTAAAGCCTGATGAAGCCATGTTAAAGCACATAAGAGATAATTTGATGTTTTATTAGAAACATTTTTCCCGTTATACATAAAAGAAGATTGTGTGGTTGATATGGAATTTTGGTTTTTTTTTTTAATGTGGATTTTTAAAAGGACTTTATAATAGATTTTAAAATATTTCCTTTACTATGTGCAGGCAACTTTTGCATTACCTTTGATTTTGTAAGTGGAAGTCAGTTCTGAGAATGAATATTAGCTTTGCTGCTAATTTATTCTAAGTTTTTAATGTGTAAGCAAACTTTTGGCATATATGCTAATTTATGTAACCTCAGGATTTAAATTTATTAAGATTTAGTTACCTGTTTTAGTGGTTAGATTTTAAAGGAGCAAATTTAAGATATAATTTATTCTTAGAAGCTAAAGAAAATGGGAGGCATAGAAATTATTTAGCTGCTCTTTGGGAGGGAAGAAATGCACTCACATTTAGAGCTAAGTTTCTGCATTATTTCACCGAGAAGCCAAAATAAAACAGTTATAACTTCCTATTTAGCATGAGGTTAAAGACATTAACACAACTCAGTGAGTTTGAGATTTGCATCAAAATAGGTATTGAAAAGAATAAAGTTCTTTCGTAAGAGTAATGTTTAGTGATGCTCATTTAATATTTTTGAGCTTGAAAAATGGATTCATAGGATGGTTCTGAAAATGAACTCCTTTATTATTTTGATACCACGTAAGCTGTTAAGGCTAAGTTATCCATGCTGTGTTGGAGCTCAGCCTGCAAAGAAATGAATTTACTGATTTTTGTCACTTGCAAGACCAGCCTGCCAGTTGACTACATCAATGCATAGTACTGTGTGAAATCATCAAGTGGTACTCTTTGTTTTGAAAGTGACACATGTAACTTTTTATTATAACTATTAATACAAGCAAAGAAGCTAGTAGTGCTTTTATTTATTTTTTATTGTCATTACGCAGTTTTCTAGGAATGTTCAGCAATATGTCAATTCAGCTATAATTCTAGTATGAAATACAGGAACTATGAATAAGCTTTTGGTGCCTGCCATTAAAATTAAATCAATAACTTTAATACCTTCTTACAATTACATTTGGTTTCACTAGAGCTCTGTCTTAGTACATCTGCACATTTCTTTTGCTCTCATTAGTTAATTTTTACCAGATCAGTTTCTTTGTAGTTTTATAGAAAAGATTTTAAATCTTATAGCCCCTTAACATATTTTATTACCATTTACTTGAATGATAGATAATGTACATGCTTGTTCATTGTGCAAGTACCCAAGACATTCTGATTGAAAGACAGCTTCAGGGGAAATAAATAGCAAAAGCATTCAGTCTTTATTTACAATATATAGAACATCATTGTTTTCATTATAAGAGTCTGATCAGCAGGAACACCCTTGAGAAGGACATCTTTAGCGATAGAATTTACATACCCTTAGCTCACAGTAATTGATTAGCAGCAGGGCTCTGAGTACAGAGCTGGCCCGGCACACGTTATTCGGGATGCCTTTGATGCTGTGGTTTTCCGAAGCTTGCTGGCTGCTGCATGCTTGTTGCCTTTGTTCATGACACAGGTAATTACTTGATAAAATGAAGTGCATCGCTGTGAACAATTGACCCTTTGGAACAATCCAGGCTGGTCAGCAGTCTAAAACCACACTTTAAGGCCATCATTATAGCCTCAAACTTAAGAGTTTCCAGGGTACAGACAAAGGTGTTGTCTTCCTTTAGTACTAGTCGAGTGCCATTTTCAGACTTTATGAAGTATTTAAATTGAATGATATTTGATGATATTGAAAACTCCTCTGGAAATCCATCCAGCCTGCTTTTGGACACCAGAACAATGCGAGATTTGATTTTTGATATGAAATCAGGAGCATTACAGAAAATTCTCAGTCCTTGTGAGCGATCATGGTTATCTGTTATTTCCAAGAAAGTAGTCTCTCTGGGTGTTAGCTGTTCTTTTTCCCACCTGGATTTCACTTCCTCCGCCAGTCCCTTGAGCTGAAAGAATTCTGCTTCTTGTGCAAGAAGTTGATTTTCTCGAAACCCTTCGGGCAGTAGAAGTTCTCCATTTCGTAGGAAGTTTAGGACATGCCTGAAGAGGAGTCCATCCCTGTCTATGAAATAATGACCATCAGCATCAAACGGGCAGAGGATTTTTCCATTTACTATACCTTCAAGGAAAGTGTCTGGGTACTTGGTCAGTGTTTGTTTTTGAGTAATGTATAAATATCCACCAACGTTGAGGGTCATCAGTGTGGATTTGCAGTTCTTTCCTCGGTCAGCATCTTCCAAGCTGTTGTGTTTCCCTTCATACTCCTTTTCTTTTTCTCTTCTGTTTATTTTACGCTCCATTTTTGAAAATGCTATTTCAGCCTGTTCTTCTTGGCTTTGAGATTTTTAAAAAAGAAACACTACCACACAAGCACGCCTTTATTCAGCCCCAGCCTGGTGATGGAATGGAAATGCGGGCAGCGTCGCCTGTGCTGTCAGCTCGGTTTTGCAGTAGGTGGCGTATCAGCTATGTGTGCGGGAGCTTTCTGGAGTAAGACGGGGGGAAAAAAAAAAAGATAATTTGCATTTAACTGTGTCGGGGAAGGAATTTGTTGTTTAAAGATTTTCATGTATATTCTTTGAAATAATAAGAGTTACTCAGAATAAATTGAATTTCCTCTTAGCAGTTAAGCAATTACAAACGTTTAATTCTCCAGCTGAGTTTGAGCGTGTTTCCATTTCTAAATGTCTTTGAAGTTTGCTCAATCAGGCAAGCTTAATATTGAATAATATTGTTAACTTTTGGAGAGTAATGTATATTGAATTAGTATCATCTTTTAAAGTAAATCATAAACAGGAAATCTAAAGAGAAAGGAAGTAGGTGTATAGAAACTTTTCTCCCATAAAAAGTCACATATTTCACAGAGGTGTAGTCATTTTAGAGACCCAAATGAGAATATTTAAACCTATTATTTGTGATATTGCACTTGAATTTAATTGGATTTGCATGTAATTCTGATTTGGGGATTTTTAGCATGTGAGAAGAAATTTTCTTAAAGCCCTTTAACAGACGAGTCTATTAATGTATTAATTAGTTAATTAATTTATTTATTTTTTACCCTAAAGGGAAAACATCAAATATACAGGCTTTGCAGTAATCATTTACATTTCTTTTTGGTTAAGATTTCCTGTGGAAAATTCATAAGCTTCTTTTGCCCTAAAGCTGCTCCAATGCTGAACAAAGACTTGGGCTGCTATAGGAAGTACTGTAACTGCGTGTGTACGTGTGTGCGTGTGCACGTGCATGTGTGCGTGCGTGCTTTCACACACGTGCATGTGTTTCAGAAGATAAAAGATTCAGAATACCTACTATAAAATAGCGTCATGGTAAATTTCACTGTTTTTTTTTTTTTTCATTGTTGGTCTCCCCCCCGCCCCTTGTTCACAAAAGGCAAGAGAAGGGGCCAAAGACAGCTTTTTTTTTTTTTTTTGGGAACTGGAACAGTGTTGAGTTTGGTGTTTTTCCCATTTTTTTTTTCTTTCCTCCTTCCCTTGTAACTTGCCTTCCAAAAAGCATTTTAGAGATCTGAGCTTTTATTTCTAGAGTTTAAGGGCCCAGTGGTAAGAAGTGTGAACATTTTCCCCTGTACACTATTATTTGACTGGTCTATCTGCTAAATTATTCTGAGGAATTCTACATTATTATCAGAATTAAATTAGATTTAATATTAAATTGACTTCTATTACATTAAAGGTATTTTTAAATTATTCAGCTGTATGTTGGTGGAAATATTGGAGCAGAGTCTTCTAGAAATGCTTATTACCTTGTATTTTCTCTAAACAGTGTTAGATTTTCTTCAGATATAAAAAATGATATCCTTAATTATAGCAGGTAATATCTTGATCATTGAGATTATCAAAAGTCCATTGAAATTAAACTAAAATCTAATGCATAAACATTTTTATAGAGCTGAGTTTTTGCTTAGAAACCATAAAATTCAACCTCCTCATTTTACCAAAAATAAAATTACATTCTAGAGAGTTTTTATTTAGTGTTTTATCTAGAACTTTACAGCTTGTTAATGGTAAGCCAGCACTTGAACTAAACCTTCCTCTCAGTCCTGCGTCTTTTAGGAAGAGTTTACTCTTATATTCTGTTTCTCTTTTTTTAAGATTTTATTTTATTTGTCATAGAGCAAGCACAAGCAAGGGGAGTGGCAGGCAGAGGGAGAGAGAGAAGCAGGCTCCCCACTGAGCAAGGAGCCCGACACGGGACTCATCCCACGACCCTGGGATCATGACCTGAGCCAAAGGCAGACACTTAACCCACTGAGCCACCCAGGCGCCCCGTATTCTAACAGTTTCATGTGTGTGTTGATTTTGTTGTTTTGGATTCAAGTCTTTTTCTATGGGTCGGACTTAAGAAATATTGAATATATTTTTTTGGTACAACTTTGGAAGTGCATGGGGTTCATATGTTTATAGTCACTGCACCATGTTATAAGCAGAATCAACAAAGGCATAATAATTTCATTGATAGGCCTAGTCCTCTTTAAATGAACTTTATGAACATCAGAATCAATAGAACATAACTCATACAGTAATGGAACCCAGGTTTTGTGCGTTTAAATCAAGTGATGTAGTAGAATACCATGTAATACTAGGCCTTCCTTACATCCTGTTTGGTCCATTTGTAGAAGCCGTCATGGGGGAAATAAAGCTAGTGCTTCCCAGGATGGGAAGGTGAGGCAGGGCTACTGCAGGTTGGACTGCTGCCTCTACAGTCATCACTCCAGGGCTGCCTTACACTTGCTAACTCACTTCTGGCTTCTGCTCCCTGATTTTTATTCTTTGTTTTTGCTGGCTTGCCTTGACAGACTGAGAACCACCCCAGTGTGTGCCTCTGACCCTTGTTTTTCACTCTAGACTTCACTCTGGTGTTCTTGGCTTCTGCACACCTGACATGTATGATTCGTTTGCCACCCCCATGGCCAGGCAACAGGAGTGTAACGGAGGCTTTGTCTTAGTGCCTGACTAGAAGTTGATAGGAATCCCTAGCACTTTTGTGTCCTGCTGCCCCCAACTTGCAGTCTTAGAAAAAGAAGAATGGCTCCCGGTAGGCCTCACTTTATCCCCGTTACTCCACATCATCCCCTTTAAAGTAACGTGATTGCATCTTAGAGAAGTTGCAAGGGCTTGTTATCACTGCTGCCTGTTGTGGTACACCTGCCCCTTACAAGAAAGCCACGTTGTTTCTTTATTCTATTCTATTCTAAGTTTGTATTTGCCTGCTTGGGTGGGTGGAGGGTGGGGAAAGCTTGTCCTGGATATTGTCAGTCAGGTCCACATAGCCCTAAGACTATAAAAATCGTGCTTTAGTACCTATGCCAAGGAAAACGTGGTGTGATTATCTTTCTCCACATTGCTGCAGATATAAACTGCAGTTAATCAGTTCAACAGTTTCAGCAAAAGGCTTAACCCAGGGGCGCCTGGGTGGCTCAGATGGTTAAGCAAATGCCTTCGGCTCAGGTCATGATCCCAGGGTCTGGGATCGAGCCCCATGTCTGGCTCCTGGCTCAGCGGGGAACCTGCTTCTCCCTCGCCCTCTGCCTCTCCCCTGCTCATGCTTGCTCGCTCGCTCTCTGTATCTCTGTCTCAAATGAATAAATAAAATCTTAAAAAAAAAAAAGGCTTAACCCACATTTCAAAGATTAGCTCACTTAGATCCACTTGACCACTAGACTTGAGGATTGTGTCTCCTTTGCAGACAGGTTTTTTGTTTTTTAAGGGTAGGGGGGCCCTGTTTTCACTCAGTACCCTAGACCTTTATTAGAATTCGAGCACGTTTATCTTAAACATCTATAATCACACAAATAAAAGAGCCAACTTTGAGGATTTAAACAGTACCATTGTTACGTTCTTGGTATAAGTCAATCCATTAGTTAGGCCCAGTGCCTAATCGAATTCTAGCAAAATCTTCCACTATCTGCATTAGGCAGAACTTACTGCAGGCTAGTGGGAGGGGTTTCCATCTTATCTACCAGCTCCTGATGGAAAATGAGGTCATTGTCGTTGCCATGATTGACACAGGATGTCATCATAATATATGCTTGCTTCATTTATATGCCATGGAAGGAAGTAGAACTTCACCAAGAAGGTAATCTCTCTTGGTTGGAAGATCCAAGATTTGATGATCCCCCTTTAAGCTCAACATATCACTCCTCTATGAAATTCAAACATTCCTTTTCAAGGAAAAGGGTTGGTCTTAGGAGCTGCCTTTAAAATAAGAACATTGGGGGCACCTGGGTGGCTCAGTCGGTTAAGCGTCTGCCTTTGGCTCAGGTCATGCTCCCAGGGTCCTGGGATCAAGCCCCACCTTGGGCTCCCTGCTCTGCAGGCAGTCTGCTTCTCCCTCTCCCTCTGCCCCTCCCCCCACTCGTGTTCTCCACACACCCTTCTCTCGCTCACTCTCTCAAATAAATAAAGAAAATCTTAAAAAAATAATAAAATAGGAACATTGTGCTTCTGCCTCCACAGTCTCCACCTATACCAGATCTTTTTGGTTGATTTTATCTCCAGGTGTTCTGCCTGTCTTTTAAAAAAGATTAGTTCCCATTACCTTAGAAAGAAAGTAAAAGCAACTACAGCTAGTGCAGCTGCTGTCAATTTCTACTTAAATCTGGCACTCTGTGTCCTGGACTTTGCCACATTTTTTCAAGTTTATTGATCTGGGTCTTTCTTTCTCACTTGAATATGATGCCCACCTCTACCTGACTCCATGATGATAGTTTAATCTGTTCATGTTCCCAAATCTGGCTAACCCTTGGCCATCTTTCTTTTATGTCCTCTGATTCCTCTTTGCTTTGAACTGTGGCTTTCACAAGCTAAGTTTCTCTTTTTTAATGTGTGGCTTACCTCTTTTTCATAGTCTCCTGTTAATAGCATTTAATATGAGAGGGCGCCTGGGTGGCTCAGTTGGTTAGGCGACTGCCTTCGGCTCAGGTCATGATCCTGGAGTCCTAGAATCGAGTCCCGCATCGGGCTCCCTGCTAGGCGGGGAGTCTGCTTCTCCCTCTGACCCTCCCCCCCTCTCCTGCTCTCTCTCTCTCTCTCATTGTCTCTCACAAATAAATAAATAAAATCTTTTAAAAAAATAGCATTTAATATGAGAAACATTTGTTTCGATATTCAGCTATGACTATTTTACTTTAGCCTCTGTGTTAAAAAATAAAAATTAATTGAAAATAAAAATAAATTACAGTGTAATGTATTAACATTTTAAGGATCAAGGATTTTTTCATGTTAATCTAATTCTGTTTGAATGCCAAAAGTTTAGTTTAGTTTCGAAATACAAAATCATCTGCATTAGATGTTGTCTGGTACTGGGATTGTACTAATAAAAGGGCTGCCTCCCCTGCCTTATGGAGCTGATTGGCCACAGTATCTAACCAACCATGCAGGGTGCATGAATCCCCCTAGGAATCATTGGATATAACCTCTGATAGGAAGGTGATGTGGATAGGTAATTCTAGTCAGATAAATATGT